TCAAACTGAGCATTTCAGGTGATAATGCTCTGATTTTCATGTATTCCAAGTGTGGTAATATGAAGGACGCTGAGAAAGTTTTCCAATCGATGGACTCCAGAGATGTGATTTCTTATAACACATTGATTACAGGTTTTGCAGCTTATGGCAATGCCGTTGAAGCTGTTGAATTATTGTGGAAGATGAAGAAAGAAAATATTGAACCAGATCGAATAACCTATGTTGGGGTACTAACTGCATGTAGTCATGGTGGACTGCTAGAAGAAGGTCAAAGGATATTTGATTCAATCAAAGATCCAGACTCTGATCACTATGCGTGCATGGTTGATTTGTTAGGTAGAAATGGTAAACTAGACGAAGCAAAATGTTTGATTGGAAGTATGGCAATGCATCCACATGCAGGAGTATATGGTTCCCTTTTACATGCTAGTCGAGTTCACAAAAGGATAGACCTTGGAGAGTTTGCAGCTAGTAAGCTCTTTGAAATAGAACCAGAAAATTCAGGTAATTACGTTTTGCTTTCAAACATATACGCCTCAGCAAGAAGATGGGAAGATGTAGACAGGGTGAGAGGGTTGATGACAATAGGAGGAGTAAAGAAGACAACTGGATGGAGTTGGATTGAACACGAGGGAGAGATGCACAAGTTTATAGTGGGTGACAGGTCACATGAGCGATCTGCAGATATTCATAGAGTGCTCTCTGAAACAGAAAAGAAGATGAGGCTAGCTGGATATATGGCTGATACGAGCTGTGTTTTAAAAGATGTTGAAGAAGAAGAGATGGAAGAGATGGTAGGGACCCATAGCGAGAAGTTGGCTGTGGCTTTTGCTCTTCTTGTTACTGAACCACACTCGGTCATAAGGGTGGTGAAGAATCTCAGGATATGTAGGGATTGCCACACAGCAATCAAAATCATTTCAAAGATGGAGGGGAGGGAGATCATTGTTAGGGATAATAATCGATTTCACTCCTTCAGTGAAGGGCACTGTTCTTGTAAAGACTATTGGTAAGGCATGCCTTACTGCACCAACCACACTGATACAAGATGGTTTGTTCTCAGATCAGCAATATTGACTAGGTTGCAGAAAAATAGTCTCATGTTAGGCTATGGCAATTTGCTGAATCTTTGTCAGTATGCTCGGAGATTGCTGATGACAGCTATGTTCAGCTGGGTGGTTTTGTTCCAGCAGCAATATTCATGTTGTGTGGATAGAAATACACTTGAACATTGAGAAATGGTTCACGAAAGGCTATTGGTTGATTTGATTTTAGTATTATGAATGTGTACTTGATCCAGAAAAATTATGAATGCAAAAAGTTAAGGGGTGATAATTTCCTGTATTCAAGACTAAGGATCACAAAAAGTTTCTGAATTCCTCGTACTACCGCAGTGTAGTAGTATATAGATAACCCATTAAAGTAAAGGAAGATGAAAATAGATTCACAAACACAAGATGATGACAGGCACAAATTTCATCTAAAACACAATCCGAAAGTAAGATAACAGAAAGCAAATGTTCATGAAATGGACATCCCAATTCCATCAGCAAACATTTAACTTTGACATAGATTACATCTGATAACTGAGCTAAAAGTCCTAGACCTTCCAACACCTCCACTTAATTGATGTTGCTCTAAAATTGCCACAAATTTTAAACTCTAGCTCTCTTGCTACTGCAACTAGGACACTTGTACTGCTTGATATGCTCAGCTTTTGCTGGGGTAATCTTCACACATTTGCCATGGAACCATCTCTCACAAATATCACAGCAAATCCAGAATTCATCCGTGGCATAATTATCACCACAAGCTCCACAGAGAGTTGCCCCTTGTTCTTCTTCTTCTTCTTCCTCCTCCTCCTCCCCACTTTCATCCTCCATTTTAGGTGGAGACACCTTTACTTCCTTGGGCTGGGGCTCTGGCTGTCGAGGCTGAAAATCAAAGATAATAGCTGAAAACATATGCTCAAACAAAATGGGAAAAGAAACAGTAACTATATATGTTAGGTCCAGTATATGAGAACCTTTCCACTTGATTTGCTTTTGCTGCTATTGTTGTGAGCGGCATCGCGTGCCTGCTTAGCAGCTCCAGTAACAACCTCAAACACTGTTGGGAGATCATTTGTCATTTGGAAAAGCCTCTTCCTGTATACATGATTTCCAAAGTAAAACAATTATCCTCCCTAAATTAATATCAGATAACCATTTAACCAATGGAAGCCACCTATGTTGCTCGGACTCTCCAATATTGATGCCGTACTTGTGTCAGATCCTCCAAAAAATGCACTAATTTTGGAGGATCCGACATGCACTCCGAGCAACATAGGCACATTAATGAGATTGGACTCTAGCTAGGCAAACTATCCAGATACTTGACAGATATAAGTCAAATTTAAGTTGACATTTCTGGACATGTACGCATGATTATGGAATCCCATGTGACCAGTTTCCCAGTATAAACTCCAGCTTATAATGATTTCAGTCATATTTTCACATCCATCAATATTCTCTAACTTACAATGGCAGCAGACACAAAAAGTGGACTCCAGGGTAGAAAAGAGGGACCAAAACCTGCTACATGGAAGTTTCTCCCATCATTATACAGCATTTGTGCCGTCCTGAATGTACCGACATGCTAGACATCCTTCGCTTACTCACTTAGCACTAATATTCAAAGATGCTACAGGCTACAGCCAATAATAACAGCTGACAGTAAACCTCTCTCAAGATGTCAGACCTTCTGCTGTTCACTCAGCTGAGCACTATTTTATTCAAAGATAATACATTCAGAAACACCAGCTGATGGTAAACATCTCGACATGTCAGGCATCCTTAGCTTTGCTGAACCAAACATTATCTTATTCAATGATGCCACAACGAATGCCACTAAGTGAATGGATTTGCCTTTGTAACAACAAGCACCAAATGACCTTCCTAGAATGGTGAAAGGACAAAGAGCATTGCAAATCTATAATCCTTATTTAAAAGGTAATAATAGTAAAAAAAAATTATAGTAGAAAACTAAAAATGGGAGATGTCTGGAATCTCATCACACCAAGAATATCATTGCAACAAGTCATCAGTATACTCACCAAGACAAAGAAATAAGTCAATAACACATCTATTTTCTAAAAATTGGAGATGTCTGGAATCTCATCACACCAAGAATATCATTGCAACAAGTCATCAGTATACTCACCAAGACAAAGAAATAACACATCTATCATGACGCAAAGAATATGAAACACTGACCAAATGAACTTAGGTTGAAGGTGAACGCACTAAATGAACTTTGGTTGAAGGTGGACTTCTATATATTGCCTAAATAATCTAACTGCTAGCAATTCTCTATTCTAGAGTTCCAAGTTAGTGTGGAATAAGATTATTGAATAATTTCATTCATATTTTTTCTATGTCATGTACATGGCTTTATATATACATAAAAGATTGTGGAATAGAATCACCTAAATCTTTGCATTAAGAGAAAGAATCAGAGATATGATATTCTAGATTACCACAATTATACTAAGATCTTAGAGGATCATATCTTGATATGAAGAATATCTTCTCATCTTAGAGGATCACATCTTTTGATGACAAGAATATCTTCTTGGAAATCCTCCATCAGCCAACACTCCCCCTCAAGCGGGTGAATGGATATCTTCCATTCCTAGCTTGCTTATTAGATCTTGAAACATATTGTTTGGCAGTCCTTTTGTTAAAACATCAGCAACCTGATCTTTTGTAGATACAAATGGCGTACAAATGAGTCCGTTATCTAATTTCTCCTTAATGAAATGTCTGTCTACCTCAATATGCTTAGTGCGATCATATTGTACAGGATTATGAGCTATACTATTGCTGATTTATTGTCACAATATAGCCTCATAGGTCCTTCCCATCTTATCTTCAAATCATCAAGGATTATCTTTAGCCATAACAACTCACAAACTCCCATCGCCATGGATCTAAACTCAGATTCTGCACTTGATCTAGCTACTACATTTTGTTTTTTACTCCTCCAAGTCACCAGATTTCCTCCTAAGAAGGTGCAATATCCAGAACTTGACCTTCGATCCACTAATGAACCAGCATAGTCCGCATCTGTATAAGCCTCTAAAACCATGTTTCCTCCTCTTTTGAATAATATTCCTTTTCCTGGACTTCCTTTAAGATATTGTAGAATCCGGTTGACAGCTTGAAGATGCATTTCTCTAGGATCATGCATAAATTGGCTAACAACACTTACAGCAAATGCAATGTCCGGCCTTGTATGGGACAAGTAAATCAATTTCCCTACAAGCCTTTGATACAAGCCTTTATCTACCACTGAATCTTCTGGAGCATTGCACAATCTATGATTGTATTCAATTGGTGTAGCCACTGGTTTACACCCTAATTTTCCTGTTTCTTTCAACAAATCAAGCACATATTTTTGTTGGGAAATAAAGATTCCTTGTTTTGAGTGTGCCACTTCGATTCCCAAAAAATACTTTAATTTCCCAAGCTCTTTGATGTCAAATTCCTTGAGTAAACACTTCTTCAAATTTTGTATCTCCTCTGAATCATCACCTGTTACTATGATGTCATCCACATAAACCAACAATGCTGTCACTTTTCCTGTTTTTGAGTGTCGTATGAACAAGGTGTGGTCTCCTTGACTTTGTCGGTACCCTAGCTTGATCATAACCTTTGTAAATCTTCCAAACCATGCACGAGGTGATTGCTTTAATCCATAGAGTGCCTTCTTCAGTCTACACACCATTCCCTTCTTGCTTTCAAAAGCAGGTGGCACCTCCATATAGATCTCCTCATCTAAGTCTCCATGTAA